AATCCAATCAACAAATGGACCAAGGACCTGAACAGACACTTCTCAGAAGAGGATATACAATCAATCAACAAATATACGAAAAAATGCTCATCATCTCTAGCAATCAGAGAAATGCAAATTAAAACTATGCTAAGATACCATCCCAGTAAGAGTGGCACCCATTATGAAGACAAACAACAACTAGTGTTGGCGAGGATGCAGGGAAAAAGGTACACTCATACACTGCTGGTGGGACTGCAAATTAGTGCAATTTGGAAAGCAGTCTGGAGATTCCTTGGAAAGCTGGGAATGGAACCACCATTTGACACAGCTATTCCTCTTCTCAGACTATATCCAAGGGACCTAAAAACAGCATACTACAGGGACACAGCCACATCAATGTTTATAGCAGCACAATTCACAATAGCTAAACTGTGGAGCCAACCTAGATGTTCTTCAGTGGATGAATGGATAAAAAAATTGTGGCATTTATATACAATAAAATATTACTCAGCACTAAAAAACAATTAAGATCATGGCATTTGCAGGGAAATGGATGGCATTAGAGCAGATTATGCTAAGTGAAGTTAGCCAATCCCAAAAAAACAAATGCCGAAATGTTTTCTCTGATATAAGGGGGGTGACTCAAAGTGGGGTAGGGAGGGAGAGCATGGGAGGAAAATTACCTCTAGATAGAGAACAGGGGAGGGAGGGAAAGAGAGGGAGAAGGGGAATAGCTAGGATGATGGAAGGAGAGGGTCATCATTATACAAAATTCATGTATGAAGATGTGAATTTGGTGTTAACATACCTTATATACAAAGAGATATGATAAATGGTGGTATAAAAGTATATTAATTATATGCAAACAAAATAAGAGAGCTCATGTATAATGGCATAATTTGGTGTGAAAATACTTTATATACAGAGTTACAAAAAAATTGTGCTGTGAATGAAAAATTATGAAGGTAATGCACTCTACTATTGTCATGTATGTAAGAAATAAATAAAAAAAAGAAAGAAAAAAAAACAATTTCATATGGTTTAATCTAATATTATCTCAATTTTACAGATGATGAAACTGAGACTTAGAGAGAGGTTCAGTAAGTCATTCAAGGTTTCCTAGCCCCAAGTGTCAAAACCAAACATAAAATCTTCAAATTATAGTTACCAATTTAAATCAATATGCTGAATGAAGAACTTGAATCCCTGGAGCCTTGTGTCGGCTCTTCTAGTTGCTCAAAGATGTTTTGCTTTAACTAATGAAAAAAATTGGATATTATTATGAAATCAACCTATTTCATCAAGTAATCCACAAATATTGAAAGTAGAAAAAATAGCTTTTTATAACTAGCAGAATCTTAAAAATTAATTAATTTATTCTACTGGGAACTGAATCCAGGGGTGCTCTACCAATGAGCTACATCCCTAACCCCATCCCTTTTATTTATTTTTTTAATAAAATTTTGAAACAGGATCTCTCCAAGTTGCAGAGGCTAGCTTCAGACTTGTGATCTTCCTGCTTTAGCCTCTGGAATAGATGGGGTTATAAGAATGTGCCACAAAGCCCAGCATATGCATCACTCACTACAAGAGCTAGCTCAAAAACTTGTTCATGCCCCTATTTTCCCCCTAAAACCACAGCACTTACAAACTGAACTAGAGGAGTATTATCTTTTACCAGTTTGTAAAATATAGTAAAAAATGACCCAATGTCTCCCAGGGTTACTGCAAAAGAAATATACAAACAAGTAAACAAAGTGCAGAGTATTTGATTTGTAATAGAGACCTTACATGTTAGACCAGTTTATTTCCAAAGCTGGTTGATTTCTACTCAGAATGTAAAATTTACCCATAATTCTGTCTTTAAATATCAATCAGTTATACTAATAATAAAATTTACTAGAACACATACCTGCAATTGACTTTTTAAAAATCAAGATTCCCTTTCTACTCATCCAGGAGACAATGGCCCTTCATAAGACCAATCACATGTAATGAAAAAAAACAAGTTTCAAAAGAAACATGAAAATTTAAAATCTTTTAGTTCACAGATAAGAAAATAAAACTCTTGAGAAATTTAAAGTTTTGTCTTAAGCTGACTGATAACTGATGAAACAGAACTAAATTCTCTAAGAGAAGGTTCTTTCTCCTATACTGCACTGCCTTAAAAATATACAATAAATAATGTGTGTATGTGTGCATATATATGTGTGTGTATATATATGTATGTGTGTATACACATATATACAGATCTGTATATATGTTATGCTAGTTAATTTTTTGCTGAGATTTTCAGTTCTTCTCAAACGATGAGGAATATCACAACGTGAATAAAAATGTAATACTCCCCTCTCCCTATTATCTTCATGTCTTTTTCACTTAACATGACTTATTTTCAGTTCCCAGCTTTCAAATCGCATATGTATTATGTGCCAGGCACTAGAGAAATATAAGGGGAAAAGAAATAAGACATGGCCCCCTCATATGAGAAAGTTCTCAACTGTAAAGCCACAGTACCTTCCTAAAAGTCCTCTTTGCTGATTCTTCCTCATCTTGAAATGCTAAAACAGTACTATCCAATAGAAATACAATGAGTCACAAAAGTAAGCATATGTAAGATTTTAAATTGTCTAAGTTATATTAGAAATAAATACAAATGTATTTCACTTAATTCAGTATATCCAAAATTTTATAATTTCAAGGAGTTATCAATATAAAAATCATTGATATATTTCACTTTGGGGTTACTTGGCCACTTGTGGCCAATGGCTACTGTATTGGAGTATGCAACTGTTAAAATACTATAGTGTCCCAGGGCTCATCTTTGGACTGGTTATTTTCACTATCTATACCCACTCCAAAAAAAGATCCCAACAGTTCATGGCTTTCAAACCATCTATATGTTATCAATCCCCACATTTATATCTGGCCCAGAACACCTCCCTGAACTGCAGATAATATAGAAATACATGGACACAAACCTAACATGTCCTAAACTGAAACTATTAACTGCCAACTAGCACCTACCCCTACCCCTACCTCCCAAATATACTCCTCTTCCACATATTTCCATTTTGGTAAACTCAGAGCAAAAAAAAAAACAGAGTAAGACATGCCTCCCTTCTTCCTATTTTCTAAAGCTTAAAATTTCACTACTTCTTACCACTTCTATTGAGCTGTTCTTCAACATCTCTCACCTTAATTATTGGAAGCACTCCCTAACTTCCCAACCACTCCCTACACTCCTTATAGTCTACTTTCCACACAGGAAACAAGAGATTTTTTAAAATTCATTTTTCACTTCTCAATTTTTTGATATATATGTATATATGTATATTATACATATATTACATATATGTATATATATTATATATGTACTTTTTTTTTCTTTTTTAGTTGTTGTTGTACCTTTTTTTTACTGTGCAGTGCTGAGAATCGAACCCAGTGCCTCACACATGCTAGACAAGTGCTCTACCACTGAGCCACAACCCAAACCCCAACCCCGGGAAAGAGTTTTAAAACCTAAGTTAATGTCCCTCCTTAGCTTGAAAGCCTTGAATGACTTTGTTTTATCCAAAGTCAAAGTCCTTACAACAGTTAAACCTTGTGAGAGCTGGCCTGTTTCTCTGAGCACATCTCTTACACTAACATTCATTCATGATCCTCTAGCTACACTGGCTTCCTTGCTATCCCAGAACAACCAGGAACACTGGCAGGCAATACTGATGGCTTTTCCACGTGCTGTTCTTTCTCCTTGGAAGGCTTTTCACCCGAGAAATCAAAGGATTGCTCAAAAATGACACCTATTTAAAACTGTAATGCCACTCCTCCTGTTCTGTTTTTGGCCTTCCCTACATTCTTTTCCTACTTTTTCTCCACAGGAATTATCACCAAGTGGTCTGCTATATATTTCACTTATAAATGCCCTTATTGCTTTTCTTCCCCTTTTAAAATAAACATTCCACAAGAATAGGAATTTTTGTTTGTTTTATTCATGGTTCTATCCCCAGGACCTAACACCTAGTATATAAGTTAATAGATAAATATTTGATGAATGAACAAACGTTGTCAAGTATTGTTTGAAACACGACATAACATATAAAGTCACAGGAAAATCCCAAGCATATAGTAGCCTCTCAATAAACATTAATCTATTTCTTTACCACTGCAATGCTTTTCACAAGAGAATCAGATTTTTAAAATTATAAAAAAAGTAAAGTCTTACATCTTATTCTATACTTTTTATATTTATGTTTATACTCTTTAAATAGCTAATTATTATTCAAAGGACAGTGTAAAAAGACATATAATAGAACTTATCTTCTTAAAAATCCATTGCACACATGAAATTCAGTAGCAACTCAAAATGTGATTGCTTAAAATACATAAAATTAAAGTATGACTTAAGCCATCTTTAAACATAGAGAATTATAATCTCTGGCTCTTTTCTATGGGAAAATATGAAATATATCTTGATCTGAATTGTGATATTTCTATCAAATATTTTGGGTTTGAAAGCTGTAATAATCAGAATCAAAGAATGTAATATATAAATAAAATGTGACACCAAGCTACTGAGTATCAGAGATTTTTGAATGATATGCCCCTCAATATTAGTGATAAAACCAAGACTAAAAGTTCTTGGCTTTGAATCCCCATCCTATGCACTTTCTACTGTACTACAGAGCTTCTCACACACCTTATAATCCAATCAATTAGGCCAGTTGCCTGTAACCCCTAGAAAGGAAGAAAAGTAAAAGCATACATCAAACAAAACTCAACATGGACATTTATATTTTAGACAAAAGTTTATAGAATACAGAAATGCAAAAAGGAGCATGGTTTATGTGTTAGAATTGCTGTGAAGTTATTATGAAGAAGGGGTTGAAGAAATAAATGTAGGATGCCCTGGACATACGGTTTACATTTCATTTTTCAAACAGCTAACAACTCACAGAGCTTCTAAGACTTAAGAAATCTAGACAAATTTTATCTTATCACTGATGAAAACTACATACCTTACATTCCATGCTGTGGTAAAGTCTGGGTTTAAAAGCAGCAGGGTACACGTGACATCTATCAATTCTAAAATAAAGAGAAGTAATTTTAAAAACAAATAGTCTTGACCTTTAAATCTTAGTTTCTTTATCTTAAGGTTCTCTCCTTTTCTGTCATATAACAGCATATATCTCAGGTCGTATTAATTTTAAAGACAGATGCCTGGCTCTAAACTGAAGATTATCCTCAAGACTTTCTTCCACTTAGGTCTACCTTTTCTAAAACTCAGACCTTGAAACAATTTTACAATATGCCAGTAAATAATTAACCACTTCATTCTTTCAGTAGTTTTGGCACTAATATTTACCAAGGAAAAGAAATAATTTCTAACCACTTTCATTTAATTTCATAAATATCAAATATGTGCAAATGTTCAAAAGAAAAAAAATCACTCATAATACAACCCATTTAACATAATTAATTTAAAATTTCCTACAAAAATTTTCCCTCTTTGCATATTTTTACATAACTATAGCAATGATAAAACTACTATAACTATAGCAATGATAAAACTACATAACTATAGCAATGATAAAACTACTATAACTATAGCAACTACTATAAACATTTTAAACAGATGCTGTATCTTATAGATCCTTTTTTCATGATGTGTTTCCTGAAGTAGAACTACCATGTTGGATCAATATAAAAACCAGTATGGCTCCTACTAAGCATTTCCAAATTGTCCTCCAAGTGGATTGTATCTATGTATACCGACAAGAATAACATAAATGTATTTATGTCCCTCTAATTCTGACCTATATAATTGTTTTTAAAAAATCAGTGTGATGAATTTTAAAAATTGCACTGTTTTTAATTTTATACTTTTACATTTATTCATATAAACTTTTTTTTTCATTTGTTTGTGACTTATAGTTCACCTAGAATAGCCTACACATATTCATAAGCTATTTACCAATCATGGTCTTAACAAAATTTCAACATATTCTAATAAGCTCCATAAGCCTATTTTAAAAATAAAATGAGTAAAATTTAGATAAAGGAGAATTCTAGATTCTAGAATTCAGATTATTAAACCAGGATTATTAAATTCTAAATCAGGTAACCCTACCAAGTGTGTATCTAAGTGCCAACCAAATAAAATAATAAAAATGATTGCTATAGCTTATTTACCATTATTGTGTACCAGACATATTAAGCACTTTATTCACATTCTTTCACTATAGTCTCATAATCATGGTCCAAGATACACTTACTCAGCTTTACGGACAGGGAAAATGAGATACTCAAAGTTTAAGCAATTTGCCCATAGACACTGAATTAGTATCTGACAACTTAGTGCTTTTAACAAATCAATTATACTGCAATTGAAATGTCTGTCTACATGAAGTGGGATATTTTCAGTGTGTAAGTAATAAATTTTTAAAATCTAAGAACAAACACACTTAAGTGTATCCTATCGTCATTTAAATATATTCTAATTAACAAAATCAATTATTGTTGGGGCTAGGATTGTGGCTCAGCGGTAGAGCGCTCCCCTAACATGGGTGGGATCCCAGTTTGATCCTCAGCACCATATAAAAAAAAAGGCATTGTGTTGTGTCCATCTACACCTAAAAATATTTTTTAAAAAATCAATTATTATATTTTCATACGATCTTAATAAAAGAATAACATTTATTTTGAGTTCCATGATTTCATCACTATGGAACATACTGTAATGTTTAATACATAAGCAACAAACAGTAGGATTAACACACATTTATTTTTGACCTGCATTCTTCCTATTATGTTATTACATGCAAAAACATAATATGCCTATAAATATGTAAATTAACTTCTTTATTCTTTTAATAGTTTTAGGCACTATTTTAATATTTGCCAAGGAAAATGCACTTTTAATTTATTAAGTCTATGCCATTAGTCATTTAATTGTACAAACATTATAAGTACTGACAATATGCAAAGATTAAATTGGACCCTTATAACTGAAAGAATGGATATAATTGTAAATGAAACCAGATTTTACCCTTGATAAAGTTACCCACTAGTTGGAGAGACCATATAAATAATTATAAGGCAAAATTAATAGTTACTGGAGCACCTATGGGAGACTAAATGAATATGGTTATAAAGGCACTGAAGACCATAGAAAAGTATGGCATGTGAGAAGATGCATGAACTTCACAGCCAGCTCTTAAAGACACAATAGTTAGTAGAGTATGACTACACCACAGGGTGCTGGAGATATGTATTAGAAAAATGAAGCCTTCTAGAACCTGGTTCCAATTTCTTTTCTGCCTGGCTTTCCACGATTTCCCTTCACATGCCATGCTCCACCTAAAGCCAAACCCCATCATTCTGGGAACATATCTCTAATCAGTTGACCTTCTATTCTCTGGACATAGCTGAGATTTACCTACTTGCTATTCTTTTCACCAGAAATGGCCTCCTGTGTTCAAATATTTATACCAATAGCAATAAACCTTTTATATCTCAGGAACTCTGAAGTGTATCTTTCCCATAAAGGCTTTCCTGACCTACCTAGCTAGAAAAAAATCTTTCATCTGTTTTGTATGTACCTTACTTTGTTACTTATATAAATATTATTCTCTTAATCAAACTATAAATCAGGGAGACAGATCCTCCCTAACACATCTTCAAATTATTCATTCACTCAAAAATTCTGTAAGCATATATATAACAACCTAGGCACTGAGCTGGATGACGATGATTAAGATATGGTCTCTGCCCAGAAGAAATTCCATATTAGTCCCACAGAACAGAGGAGCGGTAAGAGCACAAGACTTAAAGACACAACATCTGCCAGGACCCGTGGTGCACACTCCCAACAGCTTGGGAGGCTGAGGCCCTAAGCAACCCAGTGAGACTCTGTCTCTAAATTTAAAAAAAAGGCTGGGGATAAAGGGCCCCTGAATTAAATTCCCAGTACCAGAAAAAAAAAAAAAAGACACAATACCTGGGTTGGCATCCAAGCCTCTCTACTTACTACCTACAACACTTCTTTAAGATCTCAGTTTCCTTCCAGGTACGGTAGTACATGCCTATGATTCCAGTGGCTCAGGAAACTGAGCCAGGAGGATCGAGTTCAAAGCCAGCCTCAACAAAAAAAATGAGGCATTAAGCAACTCAGTGAGACCCTGTATCTAAATAAAAATACAAAATAGGGTTGGGGATGTGGCTCAATGGTGGGGTGCCCCTGAGTTCAATCCCTACACCCCAAAAAACCCACAAAACAAAACAAAACAAAACAAAAACAAAAACCTCAGTTTCCTTCCCTGTGAAATGGGGATGATAAACATTGCACAGTATTTTATAAAATGAGATCTATCCCATTTCTCCACAGTTTGGAGAAATAACTGCTCAATAAGTATTTATTCAACTAAACACTATTGCTACTTACCAACGAAGAAATGAATATTTTCAACATCAATTAATCAAATCAGATGAGTCAGTTGTTCCTATAGTAAAACTGTAAATTTCTAAACTTGTAAGGTAGTGACAACATCAAAACCCAAATACTTACTAAATAAGTAGCTATGTGGAAAGGTTTATGCACGATGAGAAAGTCTCCAGAATTTTTTTGATGGCTACAACTCTTTAAAAGCCATTAAGATACTTAGGTAAACTGGCACTTCATTCCTTGGACTCTTCTTCCTCAAGACAATGTCTGACAAATGGTAGTTGCTATATATACTTCTAATAACTCTTTTCCCCCAACTGCTACAAGTGAAGACAAGTTCACCCTTCATTAGAAAGAGATCTCCATACAGAAGCAATAGGCAAAAACTCACAAATACAGCAAATACTCAAGTCTCCACTTTTCAATTTGTGGTTGATCAAAGTAACATTTTGTTTACTCAAAGCTTTGCTTTCTCTTAGGAGAGTGATAGCAAGTTATTGAGTACACAGCCTAGCTCTCCTATTTAGTGGAATTCCTGGGCATGTCACTCACTGTGCTTTAGTGTTCCTATTTGTAAACTGAAGCTAATAACTGTAATACCTTAGAGGGGTATTAAGTGATTAAAACCATTAAGTGTCAGGCAGTATACAACATACAGTAAACACCGAACGAAAAATCCTGTTACGAAGGTGTATCTTCTAGCCCAGTTCCATAGGTCATACTGGGACTGGATGTCTTCAGATGAGGAAAAAGAATTTCCTAAGTGGGATGAGTAGTGACCACGGAGTAGAGGAATACTTTCCAACTTCTATGAATCTCAGGACTTAAAATATCCAACAGCCTCCACCAACGATTAATGGGCTTGGTAACACACAGAACCATGTGCCTCCCTCTTTGATACACTGGCCAACTCTGCCTGATTCATGACTCAAGTTGAAATGCAAGAGGTGGGGTAAAGTAGAATGTCAGAAGCAGGAAAGGGCTAATTAAAGAAAAGTAACTAGTAATACTGGATATCATTAGAGACAGATCCTCACAGAAACCCTCTGAGGTCTTGATTAGCATTCCCTGCTTTTGGTGTAGAAACATGAAGAATTTAAGTAATTTGCCTAAGGTCGCTGTTAAGGAACTTCAGGGGGCTGATTAATTGAAATTTTATTTTTTATTTTTATTTGTTCTTTTTAGATAAACATGACAGTACAGTGTATTTGACATATTATACACATAAGGAGTACAATTTATTGTAATTAGGATCCCATTCTTGCAGTTTTACATGATGTGGAGTTTCACTGGTCATGTATTCATATATGAACATAGGAAAATTATGTCCAATACATTCTACTCTCTTCTCAATACCCCTCTGGCTCCTCCTTATTGTCTAATCCAATGAACTTCTATTCACCCATACTCCCACCATTTTGTGTTAGCATCCACATATCAGAGAACACACTGGCCTTTGGTTTTTTGGGATTGGCTTATTTCACTTAGCATCACAGTCTCCAAATTCCATCCATTTACTGGCAAATGCCATAATTTCATTCTTCTTTATGGTTGAGTATTATTCCATTGTGTATATACACATTTTATTTATCCATTTACCTACTGAAGGGCACCTAGGTTGGTTCCATCGTTTAGCTACTAT